TTCAATTTGATCAGGCGTTAAAGTTGACTGATTTGGCTTAAAAGTATGTATGCATGTACATGATATTGAACTCTTTCAAATCTATAACAAACCATCCAAAGTACAAAGCACGGCATGTATTATGCCTGGTTTCCAATACATAATAAATCGCTTTTTAACATGATATTCATGTCATATTATAAAGAATGCATGTCCGCGCGGACAGAGTGCACCACTTGTCTCAGAACCGGGTAGTTAAAAAATGCAACATAGCAAGAGGTTATAAATTTGAAAAGTAAATAGCAGACTTACCTGCCCTTTATAGCTAACAAGGATTCCAAGCTTTAAATAATGATTTTTGAAAAGAGGAGCAAATGTTCTAAGTAAAACAGGAGGATATTTAAGCAAAAATGATTTTCAAGATTATCTGTCCCTTAGAAATAAATTTTGAACAAATTTGATAGTGAAAAAACACTTCAAGAGAATGTTTTTGATATTGTTGGTGAAATGTACATTAATTTAAATGTTCATCCAGGAAATCAAAGACAGACAAGGTTGCACAACTAAGACAAATAATAATGGATAATAGAGCGCAAGTGCTAACCATTAAAAATATGAAACAAGAATAATTTCATATATATCTGCATTTTCACGAGAAATCTGTAATCTAATGGTTTCTTTTTAATTGTAAGAATACTCTGTAGGAAATTGCAGCTGCATAGCAATCATGCATTAGAATTAATCAAAGTAAAATGGCACTGGGTGCTTTCCTATCAATTAACTCATACGATCGCATATTTTCGAACTTTTCCGGCAATCTCCGAGTGTTCACTATTCGTCTGGTACCCAGCGCACTTTTACAACAGTACATGTGATCTAGACAACATTATGCATTTATTTATTGCACGTGTAATAATTACGGACATGCAAAAGTTATGTTTGTGCCACGGCAGGTATACGCACAAAATTGAAACTTAATATGAAAGCATTTCCCTCCTGTGCAGTTAACAATTGAACCGTTTACAACAACTTTTAATGGCGTCATTGAAAAGGCCTCAAGGTGAATTCTTGTTAAAAATGGTATTCATGGAGCCCATCTTGGATTTCGCAGTTTCCCGGGAGTGATTTTTTTGGAACTTTGTGATGCTACAATCTTTCAGAAAATATGACTTTCAATTAAGTCTGTTCAAATTTTGTCGGGGTTAAGCCAGTTTTTTGTATCTATATCTGCAGTTAGGTTTTGAGTCTGAATCTGCTTGCAAATAAATTAAAGAAGTGCAATGCATATTCGCATTCATATTAATATCAGTATGGAAAAACACCGCTAGAATTTACATTTATTTATTCTTATATAGCAGGAAAAGTTTGGCATCTTCAGTGATTTTCTTTACTCGTGTGGTACATGTGTAACGTCGAACCAAAATGAATATTCATTACGCATGTATCAATCTCATGAAACTCTTTTTAACATTTTTGTCTAGCATTGGCTTAATTGCTTTCTAGCAAAAAAATAAGTTATGATGAACATGATGAACACCTGAGTTACGTTTGATTTGTTTACAGTGTGTTATTCGATTCGTTTACGGTACCACTTAAAACAAAAGACATTGTTGATAATGGCGTCTGTTTGTAAGTTCAACAAGCATTCATCGGCAATTTTTCGGATGTTGATTTTATATGTAATCGTGATTGTTTTATTATAAGAGGTAATTATTTACTGAGAAAGTGTGCTGAAATTTAGCCAGAGTATTATAGGCGTTCGTTTATATACCTGAAATGTCAATTCGAGATACAATACATGTAGGTTCCTCCATTAAGAATAACAATCTAAAATTTAGATGTTTGTTTTGTTTGTCTTATGTTTTGTTTGTTGTTTTTAAGGTTTAGTTTCGCGTCGTAAAATAAACATGGCGACGTTCCGGTTTAGCTTGTGCATGAGGAAGACCTCTGTTCATTACTTCAGGCACGATCGCACCTGAGTACAACCACCGTCATTCCGTTAGCTAACTGACTAGCTTTCTTATATCCCACATTAAAGAGACCAAAGTCCCTGCATGGTAGAATTCGAACCTACAACGGTGTGTCGTAGTTTGGAGTGTACGATCTTAACCAGTCGGGCTTAATTTGTTTGTCTTTTTGTTTGTTCTTATAGTCCTCAATTAGTCGAGTCAAAATGATACTTGTTATACAGGTGCTTCATTAATTTTATTCCTTAAATTATTAGAAGCAGCACGCGTACAATCAATGCAACCTTCATTGCACAATTAATGACTAATATAGGAAACATTGAAACATTTCCAAATATGAATATAATATGATATCATCTGCACAAATCAATTTATTTTCAAACTATGAATGAAAATAAACGCCGTCATGGTAACTTTAGCTGCGTTACAAAATATCTTGATACTATTTCCATGACAATGATGCTTGATCGATCAACAGGGAAACGCACGTCTATTACATCATGTACATATTTAATTCTATTCCTTCCTAACACCTACGCTTATAATTTCTTATTTCAGTGGAAAATGCCTGGTGGTTGGAGAAATCAACAAAGTCTCTTGAGTCGTTTGGAATATATTTATGTTGCCTTATTTTTCTCGCTAGAGTAATTTTTGCATGTCTTCCAACAGGAAATGGAAACTCTCATCTTTGATATGTCTATCCATCAACAGGGCGAGCAGGCGGTGTCTTGTTTTATCGCGGATACATGTGTTGGCTAGCCTTGCTCTGCACTGGCCACATGGGTAGAATCTGTTCCCACCAGCACTCTAATGGTCAATGATTACATGTATTACGTGATAGAACGAATATTTAATTGTTGTCATACACTGATGTTGTTATATATAGCATACTATTATTTACAAACATATATTAAATTACAATGTATCTGTGGTTTTTTACAATATAAAAATGTTATTATACGAACATTGTATTACGTTTATGCCATTTAAAATAAAATCTTGAACCTTGTTAAAGTATTATGAAGAAATATAGTGACAAATATTACTACTAGACATGTTTGATTCAGAACTATCGACATTCATTGGTAGTAGATTTGGCTTATTTAGAGACAGTTAGAAACATAAATATACACAAGATATAAAACAAGATTTTCATTTTTCACTCTTAATCACAGACTTTGCTAACACCTAACGCAAAGTATGTTAGCGTCTTCAAGAAAATTAGGTAAACAAATAAATATTAAACAGGCGACATTTTCAGCAGACGACAAATTTTCCAGCGTACAAAGGTGTAAAACCGACATCGTTGTAACTTAATATTTATGATAGATAAAGAAAGGCACAATTAAATCCATATTCCACTTGTTGCCAGCAAAAGACCATCTTACATACATGTATATATACATGTAGTAGTTCTTCTCAAGCATGTACGTATGTTAAACATAATATACCTGTACATCTACGATAGGTAATAACTAAAAACAAATATGATATAAATATTTTGTATAAAATAAATACTCTTATCCTGGCGCATACTGTCCGTTTTTTAACCTTTGGTTTTATACAGAGGTGGAAATTTCTAATGAGCAGTTTTGCTTAGCAAAGGATTCTATTGTTACTGAGTGCGAAGAGTGTGCAGCCTGAACGGGACTCGTACCTGGGACCCTTCTGGATACCTGACCGCGGCTCTACCGACTGAGCTACTAATATCCATTATCTCCTGTAATAAGTGAACAATTCAGTATCGTGACATGAACTTTATCGTACATTTGTCATAAACATCAGAGGATGATGCTTTAAAAAACAACAACAACAAAAAAACAACAACAAAAAAAACCCTTTTTTTATACAACTTGCGAAGAAATTAGTAATTATAATTACTGGTTATAGTTATCAAGGGAGACCATCGAGATTTGACAAAAATGCATTGAAACCTGACGATACAAACAAAACAAGTTTACGGAGGGTAAACAGTAGTTCTCGTCGCCAGAGAATGTAATGCTTTATAAACAATGCTCATATATAGCAAAATGTCTCAAAAATATCAACAAAAAATCACCCCAAAACATTCAACCAACAAACATAATATAAGAGAAATAAAAAGAAAAAATGCTTTTGAAATTATCATAAGTTTAAAATGTCAAAATATTGAACACTGAGTTTCACGCATGTCTAGGGATTACGATGTTTTTTCCCAATCAGCGCATTATTTAAGTAGAATCTAATTTGCTGTTTAAGTAAACATATGATTTTGTGTATTATTAAATCATAAATTATAATTATTATACTTATTGCAAAGCTATGAATCGCATAACTCATTTGCTTAGAGGCGATGCAGTAAAGATAGTGTTAACAATAGTAGCAAATTTCATTAAACTGCAAATCAAAATTTAAATTATAAAAAATAACAACACAATATTCACGTCTATTATGTATTAATGTAAAAAACTAAAAATATCTTCATCTAACTTTATGACTGTTAAAGGAAATCCGCTGAGGTTTTTTAACCTGACTATACTAGAAATATATTTTCAAAATTGTTGTTCTATTTGGTGTAGGTCAAGACTAATAACTTGTAAATGTATACACAATTTCAGATCATTCGCGCTCGTATGTTTTTTTTCCAGAAGAATTATTTTCATTGTGAACAGTGACGCAAAACTGAAAATCGTTGCAACGTTTTTCACATAAATCAGACTAAGAATAACGCTATTTAAAGTACGATTTTAATTTATTCAGAGTATATTTCTTAATTATCTTGTGTATACTTTATGTTTTTCAAGTGTCCTAGCTGATCTTAGAAAAAAAAATCAAATTTTGTTTTAAATATTTTGGACCTCAGTGGAGTTCCTTTAAGTTCGTTTCGAAATTTTTGCTTTTCATATTTATGATCGACATTTGATAATTAATTGAATTATTTCTCCGTTGTAAATAATTATACTTTCCCTGCCTAAATGATAACACTGATTAGCGAAAGAACATATTTCATTTGTTCCGGTGCCAAGAACAATCTTGTACAAGACATTCTTCATACAAAACTGTGTGACTGACAGTGTAGGTATATGATGAAAGCGTTCCTATTAATAAACAGCGCGTACATGTGTTCATGTTAGCACACGCAGGTATTTCTCTTTCCATGTTATGTGGTTGTTATATTTTTGTTACTGGTCTGATGTGATGGCATATACTCAGGTATTGTGCGATTGTGGAGAAAACAGGAACCAGTTTGACGACTTGATATGTCGTTGTATTTTGAGACAGGTTGCAGAGCGGGATTAATGTGAAGATAAGTTATTACGGTAAGAAATTATATTTATAATATTAATCGTGAATTTGTTGTTTACAAAGGTATTATATAAAGAGAACATTTGAATATAATAATTATGCGCTGTATTAAACGCCATTCTAAAATTAAAATATTAATCAAAGATTAAAAAAAGAAAACAAAAATGCTGTTTTTTTTCGTCGATAATTAAAACATGTGTTAAATAATCCACCAGCCAACTGTGCGTCCCGCCCCATCCATTTAACATGTCTTTGGGTAGGTTTTGTGATACAATTTTACCGACTGTTGGGATTTGTTTTGTCGGAAAATATGTTAAACGTGCAATTTGAAGGCATTTAGGGAAAGTTTATGAAAATTCAAGCACGATAGAATGAGGGGAACTCGAAGACTATTATATTTCTGTTACATAATTAAGACGTACTGAAATAGAATATGAATAATATTAACTTAATAAAAACATAGAAAAAAAAAATATCAAGTAAAAATTATTTTACCTTTAAATTGCAAAAGGAACTGTAAAAGTTACCTCTATGTACACCATTACCCCCCCCCCCCGCAATTTCCCAAAGACAAAGAAGTAAATTAATATTTCTTGATGAATTCTTTTTATCCTAAGATACAGTTTCCATCAACAGTATAGAGCCTGTGACAAAGGCTAAAGTTAGTGTACATTTAGTTTTCATTGCAAAGAAGTAAGAATCCGTCTGGTTAGCTTGATATAGGTAGAGCGTTGGACTGTGAATCGGGCGATCCAGGTTCGATCCCCGGAAGATTTTATTGTGATTGATCATAAAATCTTTTCTACAGTCATTCGATCTAACATGTACAGAAGTTTCAGTGGAGGCAACGAGTACAGGTAAACTGCTTGACAGTCTGTCCAGGAACAAGGCCGTGACTTAACTTTGCTCTGGTAAATTCAATGTGGCCTACAGTCAACATCCCCACCACCATCGCAGAGGACTATTTATATAATTGAGCCGCGTCACGACAAAACCAACATAGTGGGTTTGCGACCAGCATGGATCCAGACCAGCCTGCGCATCCGCGCAGTCTGATAAGGATCCACGCTGTTCGCTTACAAACCCTATAACAAGTAGAGAAACTGATAGCGAACAGCATGGATCCTGATCAGACTGCGCGGATGCGCAGGCTGGTCTGGATCCATGCTGGTCGCAAACCCATTATGTTGGTTTTGTCATGGCGCGGCTCATATGAATTTTAAATCAGAAATACATTGTGTATAAACAGTAATATCGCGAAAATGGTAATGGTCAATGTCATTTTTGAACTGAATTGGTGTGGATTTTGTTTTACCAGTTAAGTTCATTATCGATATATTATTGTCAATCGGGCCAAATAATAGCGATAATTATTCTTACTATAACAATAACATACTAGTTGCTGAATTTATGTTTCATTTTCATGCGGATAATGCTAAATCAATATGCTGCAGACTCACCATTCTTATGTTACAATAATTAGCTCTTGGTATTGCACGATTTACAGTCTTTTTAATGAACTATGAATCTCTTTTTGTCGTAATTGTAATTTGTGAGGACTTGTGAAAACCGGTCGTCATGTATTTGAGAGGACGTTTTTAACATCATTCTCTGGCCATGGCTAACTATTATTTACGGGTTTTATGATAAATATATTTTTCATATACATTAGATGTGAGACTATACGAGTTATCACTGAACTGAAAATAAAATTATCGATTGGTCCTCGCTTACAAATTTAAGAAAAATGACAACTGATGTTTAGTAATCAGTATTTAGTATATGTTCACGGGAAGCAAGCATTTCTAATGAACAAATAATAATCTCAATCAATGTGAGTCAACATGAATATAGTTATTACAGGTTCACTTATTTGTGCGTCTATTTAATACATTTTTGCATTTTCCCGATTACAGCAGACAACAGCCATATCGTCTGCTATTATAATCGTCTGCCGCAATAAACGTTTAATTTCAATATAACAAAGTCGCCTTTGTTACTTAATTTGCATGCTTTGTACAATTAATGCAATCTGATGTGCTAAAATCTTTTATTACAGAATAAAAATGGAAGTGTCATAGTCGTATAATAATCCAAGTTGAATAAACACCGACAAGGACATGTCTACAATAAACACTAGTTTAGATCAACATTCGAATTACAGCGTCCCTGAAAATGCGACTGAACTTTCAATTGATGATGTTCTTCATCTTACCATAGTTCCAGTTATTACCGTCGGAAAATATGTGCATTTGGTGTGGTACGCTATCGGTTTTGTTGGAAACGTCATTTCCGCTAAAATATGGAACGCAAAGCGCATGTACGAGGTGTGCTCATCGGCGCACTATTTGGTGACGATTTCCATATGTGACATCATATGCCAAATTTTACATGTGTTCTACTATATGAAATTTTACTGGCGTGTTCATCTATTCGACAAGCCGGAACTCTGTGAATTCTGGAGTATCATGTATATGATTCCGTTATATATCAGCGAAATTCTGGTTCTCGGTTTTACGGTAGAGAAGCTTATATCACTCCGCAATCCGTTCAGGAGCGGCTGGTTTTCAAGGAACCAGAGGGCTCCAAAAGAAATAGTATGGATAGTCGTGTCCGTAACGGCATTTTCCTTGCCTCAAGCCTATTTCTGGAAAGTGGACAACAAAGGATATTGTGACGACAACAGGCATGATGACGTCATGGAGCATCCAATATGGATCTGGCTAACAGAATCCATTATTTACCTTGTCATTCCAACCAGTGTAGTTATTCTGAACTTTATAATAATTCATACAGCAAAGCATTCCATAATTCGTGTACGACACGGATTAAATAAGCAGGTTCATGTTAGAATAGCAGAAAGACTGAGGGAGTCCACAGTTGTTTTACTAGAGCTTTCATTTTTCCGCGTATTGACATTAGTTCCCGCGGCTGTTGTGGAAAATCTGCAACAGCTGGACTATTTTAAGCCTATTAAACTACCACCTGTGTACAGTGTTGATGAGGTATGGGGAAATGATAGGTGGCACAGATTCGTAATCTATTCAGCGATTTCAAATTGTTTATGGACAGTATGTGCCGCCAGATTGGCGTTTAGTGTCATCATTTACAGCAAGTCGTCCAGTCACTTCAGAACAGAACTAAAGAGAATTTACCATAATTTCATAAATGAGGCATGGACATTCATACGGAGAAAGTTGAATTATAATATTATAGTCCGCTCTGAAGACTAACCAAATAATTATACTACAGATTTCCGAATAAAGAATTAATATCAAGTCTTTCTTTGAAAGTTTTAAATTTATTACTATTCTATATTCATAGAACTGAACAGAACGGAACAACAATTTTATTCATGACTTGTACAATAAGTACATTATCACATATACAAATGAGCCACGTCACGACAAAACCAACATAGTGCGTTTGCGACCAGCATGGATCCAGACCAGCCTGCACATCCGCGCAGTCTGATCAGGATCCATGCTGTTCGCTATCAGTTTCTCTACTTGTAATAGAGTTGGTAAGCGAACAGCATGGATCCTGATCAGACTGCGCGGATGCGCAGGCTGGTCTGGATCCATGCTGGTCGCAAACGCACTATGTTGGTTTTGTCGTGACACGGCTCAAATATATACAATTTATAATATCAAATCTATATTGATAATCTGTTCAAAAATTAACAATTGATATAACCACATAAAATATTACCTATATAATTGAACTCATATAACGTACGTCTTTCAATATATAGTTTTAACAAACGGTGTTTGGTGTTCGTTGTGTTTCGGGTATAGTCAGTTTACTCACGGACTTTAATTGACAATTGTAATATAAATCCGTGGTTTACTGTAGGATTGAGGATTTTATTCGACCAAACCTCTACCAGTTGAAATATATTATTCACAAGAAATCTTATAAAATGAACACAATGATTAAATCAAACTTTAATACATCCGTGTATCGTACAGTACATGTTTTCTCTTTCATTTCAACACGAATCATTTTGTAAGTTAATAAACATCCGGTCTTAGTGCAAAGCAACTGTTAGCATCGTAAAAACCTTTGTTTCCTTTATTATATCACAGAGCTACATTGTATATTAAAACAAAAGTCTCTGTCAGGTACGTTATCTTTTACCGTGTAGTTGTTGCATACCAAATCACCTTAATTTTTATCAATTTCTTTAATAACTTTCATGATTGCCAGAAACCTTTATATTTCTTTAAACTTACTAAACATTTCACATTCACTCTGATCAATGCTTTAATTACATGCAATGAAAGTTGTATTTTTCTGTAAACTTACGAAGAGTTAAGCAAGGCTTGCGTCATTACAAACCAAAATATGCATTGGATGAAAAAAAAATCACTGAAATACCATATCACAGCTACATGGGTGCAAGTTAAAAATATCAGAAAATCTGAAAACCCTGAATTAAGCATTATTTTGACAGGTTTTACAATGAAGAAGAGTGCTTTTAGGAGTATAAAAAACCTGAACTTCAGGCATATTCCTGAAAACTTGTACCCATGCAGCTAACATATTATACCAAAGCTACATGTAGTAACATTTTCAATTCACTTTGACCAGGCAGCTTTAATTACATGTAATTAAAGCCGTGCCTTGATTAACTGGCCTTTAAACACAATTGAAGGTTTGAGAGCAACTAGAATCCTTTAACTTGGAACTTCTTACTGAATTTGTCTAATTTTAATGAGAGAATACACGCTGGTTAAGTTAATTTGGTCTATGTATTCATACAATCTTTCCCTGTATTATGTAGGGTTATAAATATAACATATATTCTCTGTACGTTTTCAAAAGATTTAAATGAGACTGTATACATAGCAATTATCAGTAATTTCAAATATATTATTTGAACATAATATATCTTTAAAAACTATGCTTATTGACCGATCAGAGTTCAACATAAGACGGCTTATCCAGTCAGAAATCAAATGCCTGTTTATATTATGTCCAAGAATAAACAAAAATTGTTCTTGCAAGCTTATATTGTAATATATGTGCCCCTTATGTATGTGGGCATAACATATGTGGTATAACATAAACACTATCCATTTAGAATGACATGGTGAATTTAAATTAACACCTGCTGATCGAGTTCTTAGACACTGCACTTATCATCACTGGACCAGTCACCTTTAAAATTGACTGAGAAGTTGTGCACATGTAGTGGAGAAGACACTCTAGTCACATCCAGCAAAATTCTGTAGACAAGATAGAATTCAACCTCTATCATTGATGAACTTGTGAACAAGGTCAAGGTATTGCAGCTGCTATCTTTCATCTAAGAGTTTACCGCGCTCTTCTAAGATAACTTCAACTATAGTGGAAACTTCTGCCATTGCACCTGCTCCTTAATAACGAAAAGAACAAAAATGTCAGATAACTTACAGAAATTAAATAAAAATTATTTATACTGAACAAAAGTCAAGGGTGTTATTTCAGTTCAAGGGTTGGTAATATGCAATTTTAGCCTATGCAACATGCAGGGTTATTTTTCATTATATCGAACCAATATTTGAATGTAATATTTCTCTGCTATGCATTATTACTCAGATAGCCATTCATCATTGATTTTTACCATACAAAAATGTACACTTTTTAAATGTATAGCAAATGAAGACTATCAAAAAGCATACTAAACTTAACAATATTGATAGTTTCGAACTTTACAATTTAATAAAACAACATAAAACTGTAACAATGAAATGCTGACTAATTGTGAACATTATTTTTCGCATTAGAAAAAAAAATAATCAAAACTTTGTAACACTTGTCTTAACAAGTCAATCACAGAATGACAGTAATATTTGTCTGACGCACACCAAGCAGAGCAATCAGGGGAGAGCACTAGAACATTACATTTTCTTAAGACTATATAGATTACTCTCCACTTGGAAATATTGAAAAAAAAATTGACCAGGTGATATTCATTTCAAGGCTGATTGTAATAAAAACCATGTGAGTTCACATTAGGCAATACAGTAAAAAGTTTATGTGAGGTATAACAATCTGATTTGGTCCCTCTGTCCTGATGGGCAATCGAAACATACAACATTGAATTTACAACTTCTTGATTGAAGGGGTAGTGCAAATCAAACGCACAGCATGTTTTAGAGAACAAATTTACAAGTACATGAATGCATTATCAAGTTCTCTTTCATGTCCATCCTAACATAAATTGAGAGTATTCTGATTATTTCATAAAACACAAAGGCCTACTTTGAATTTTTGTTGAGTTAATATTCATTGCATTTAATCCATTTATATAAATCCCTATGACATTTAAAGAAATTTTGCAAGTAAAATATTATAAACTTAATTCCAGAAAATCTTAAAAATTTCCAGGCATTATCTTTGCAGCAAAAGTGTCAATTAAACTTGCAATCACTTTAGTTTTTACAGAATTTATTTTGGTTTGATTGTGTAGGAAGCCATAATCTTATAATCACACTCTCGGATCCATTTCTGGAACCAACCAGTACAGAGCAATGAGTATAAAATTTCTTGCTCAAGGGAACAATCACTTGCCCCTAATGAGGTTTGATAAATATTCTGGCGGCCATGCTGTCACACAGTCACTTTAATACATGTACCTTTATCTCCACAAATAAGTGTTTTCTCTACAACTGGTATCTGTCTGTAACCCCAACCTTCTAGTTTATCTGTCTGCTCTCTGGTCAATGGATGCTCCCACATATATGTATTCATTGCCGGAGCAAACAGTAATGGTTTCTTCAAGTCCCATGCTCTTACAACACATGTCTGTAAAAATAACAACACAAACATATTTACTATCATAAATATTTTTCTACTCTTGGCATATTTAAATGGACTTGTTTATCTTTCAATCTGGACAAAACCATTCATTAATTTTTGTGACAATTTCAAAATATGAATTTATTGAGTACTAAACAGTGCAGACCATGATCAGACAGCACAAGTGTGAGCTAAACTTGGTCTCTATTGGTCATATGTGGGTTAACAATTCTAAGAATTAATTATAATTGAAATCAATATTGTTAATATATGCAAACAACTATTTGTCTTAAAATTGACTTTATCTATCTTTTATTATCATCTTTTTTTAACACTTAGCCTGGTCCTACCAATGCTACCAGTGAAAACCAAGATCAGCAAGCACTGATAAGGGTCTGCACTGTTCACTATTCAGTTTGTACATATATGGCAATTTCCTGTAAACATTTAAGCATGATAAGGGTTAATGTTGGGTTCGAAATATAAAAGAGAAGATTCAATGTGAAATAAATTTTAACATTTGCAGACTGTACCCTTTCCCCTATAGTATCCATGTAAATGTACACATCACTGAATACATTTCTTTCATGAAAAAAAAACACTGTGAGGCCATCAGACAATTTTACATGTCAGAAAGACTGTATCAACTCATCTGGAGATTTATTTCAAAGAAAAGGTGATATCTAAAGGTATTCACAGATTAATGGACCTTTCCTGTGATAACATGTTTTTGCAAATTGGCTGACAAGCTATCAAACTGTTACACTGGGGTAATACATAGTCACTGGTTGATGTTAAAACGCAACAACACATGGTTTTGTTTGGGATACTTTTTGTGAGTAGTTGATGTAGCTATGAATAGAAACGGTGGGGCTAAATCTTTCTCTGCTTAAAAACTGGAAGGGTCAACTCAGGTAGAGGACAGTACCCCTTAGGAAATCCTTCTAATATTTCACAGTGGTTAAAATAACCACTAACTCAGCAGCTTTTCTTTTGGGCAATACATTGTAGTTGAAAGTAATAAGATAATAGCAACTTGCTTGTAAACTTCAAAGCTAATTTCTATGATTTTAGTGAAGACAAAATACCTAAAGAGAAACATAAGTAAAATTATATAAACATTTTCAAAGAAATACATGGCAACCCTTTAAGTTATACCATTTACATGACTGCATCAATGAAAGACAAGAATTTTTGAGTAAACATTCTTCACCAGTCAATAGATGATATCCCATGTTGGGTTAACTGTTATTTTAATGTACTGCCAGAATTTACCTTCAAGTTAAACTCTAGGTTATTATAACTTTATAATAATGGCATTATTATTATTAGTGACTTAATACCAACTCAATCAATTGAACCAGCCAGTAACTAGCACACTTTCTTTATGACTTAAAATTATTCAAAAACCATGACATTTCTTACCAACAGGTTATCACATATTCCATGAGAGATTTTAGCTAGAGTGTTGGCATCTAATGGTGCAATCACCAATATATCTGCCCACTTCCTCAAATCAATGTGAAGGACAGGATCCCCTCTCTTTGTCCAAGCCTAAAATAGGATTATAGTTTACATTTATAATCAGACAAAGAAAGTGTACATTTCTAAACACTGTTTTTTTTTTAAATTGATTCATCTACAATGCATATATTTTCCATCAGTGTTTAAAATATTGATAAAACATTAACAATAGAAATATACCATGATTTGGATATTTTTATTGGAAAAAGTGTTTTATATGAACATTTTTAAACAAATCTGAGGGAGGGGGGTTTTAATTAAAAAATCACCCTGGGGGTTATGGATATAGAGTCAAAAAATATCCTCCACTTTTTCCCGAAAACTACTCCCCTTCTTTGATGTAACTTACAATTTAAAAATTTAAAGAAAAAAATGAAAACAAATTTTAAATCCCAACAAAACCCGGGAAAAGTAATTCTAAATGTCATAATTTTTTAATTTTTAACCCCTTTTAAAAATATCCGCTAGCAAAAACAGACAAAACCTAGCGGGCACACCCACTCCCAACTGATCGGTTTTGCACATTATTTATTAGTCAGAAATATAATCTAAATTTTTTTCCAAAAAAATGATAAAAGGGTTTTGTCCAGATTAAAAACAGGGACGTGTCCTTTTAAGAATTTTAGTTTTACCTGGGTATTACATTCCTTTAAATTCTGCATCTTAAGTTAAGGCAAAATTTAGGGAACCCTCTTTTCAAAGAAATGTAGGGGCTCTGCGGTAGAGACCATTTTAAAATTTTCCCGGGCAGTAAAAGTCAACAAAAAATATTTTATAGACTATATATATTTTTTAAAAATATTTAAAAAATATTTTGCAGTATAAAGTACATGTTATTATAAACAAATTCAAAAATTGGACAAACTGTCACTAACCAAGTGTAATTATTATAAGATTTAATATTGAAATGGATTTTAATCATTTATAACTTAAAGGAAAAAAGACAAATTAAGGCAATTTCTGTTATCATATTTGAACAAAGATGCCATTTTAAAGTCATAAAAACAAACCTTTAATTCAATATTTTACTAATGTTAATAATTCAAAGTACGTTGCCTCTCATTAAAATAAAGAAAAAGCACTAAACTTTAAACTTGAAGGAATCTTAATGGGGCGAACAATCAGTGGGGCGAATCGTTATCATAATCAATACACTAGAATCTCACTACCATCATAACATTTTCAAACTATCACAAAAATATATGAACTATTTTTACATTTTCTTGTTTCAGTCGAGTTACAATATCTGGAATTTTCAAAGCAGCCACACTTCCAGTGCAACAAATCAAAATGTTTATTTTTCGTTCGGCCATGAAAAGGTCTGCTTGATTGTAAACACGGTTGAGGAGAGCCTGTTAAATTTTTCGTATAAAGCGCGAAACTTTTCGTATAAAGCGCGAAATGTAATTCTTCTCTTTTTTACAAAAGGATTTTTCTAATTAGTGTTAAATATAACGTGTTTCTCGTTCGCATTATCTATTATTTTGCTATTTTTTGGGCACTTTTTTCCGTTTTAATAGAATTTTACAGTAAAATTCCTGTTTACAGACGTATATTATTAGCAACTAATTATATATATTATAATAGTTAACCATAATCATGATTTAATCGCCATTTATTTGCCTAATTTCTATATACAAGTTCAGCGATCTTCCTTTCGCTTGCATAGAAAAATACGAAAGTATTAGATATAGAGTTTAAATTGAAAATGTACTAAATTTGCAGTTTGTAGACGAGTATTATAAGAAATTAATATTATTTATTTTCTAAATTAATCATTATGATGATTTATAGTTTTATACCCCATTTTTTGCATAATTTCTGTATACAATATCAGCAATCTTCCTTTCGCTTACATTGAAAAATACAAAAGTGACTTGTAAAATATCAAATATAGTGTTTGAATTGGAAATGTACTTAAATTGCAGTTTGTAAACGTATATTATCAGAAATTAATAATTTGATATTCAACACTATATATTTCAATTTAAAATTCACTGTAAAATTCTATTAAAACGGTACAATTCAAATTTTAAAAGTCACTTTCGCTCACTTTCGTCAAAAATCTCACTTTCGTATTTTAGCAAACCGCTTTTTTCCATCTTAGTCATATATTGCTGATTATCAACAATTCTTTTTAGGTTCATATCCCTTTTCACACTCCAAATAACCACGTTTTCATTTCCACCTCGTCCAATATAGTTAACATTGTGGAGTACAATATTGAATTATATTGGACAAGTACACTGCTGTGTACTCGTCCAATACAATTCAGAATTGCACTCTACAATGTATAATAATTATATTATTATTGTTTTTACTTATATTGCTGCACTCTGTTCCTAGTGCAGTATACTGATTTTCTGAAGAGGCTCCAGTCTAATTAATCAATAATTGACGAGTACCTATATATATTTATCAATAGATATTTCTCAGATACTGCACAGAAATTTTCGGGACTGAAACTTGAGGATTTTTTTCCCGGTGTCATCAGCTACGATTCACGTACATATGTAAGTCACACAATTTATCACGATCAGTAGTGTCAGCAACGTCAGTGATTAAATAGAGGATATTTGTTTAGTTCAGTGTAAGATCGGAATATATTTCACCGAGTGAGCACCAAAAGGTATATTTCACGAGTGGTGCAGCCACGAGTGAAATATGAACTTTTGGTGTTCAGAAGGTGAAATATATTTCGATCTTACACTAGACTAAACAAATTTTCTTTTTATTATATGCAAAGAAACGTTTTAAAAAGACATTAAATCTAATGCTGAATGAAAAGCGCGCCAAATAATAATACAACGTGACGTCATTTTCGACTTCATGTCCAGCACTGTGCACGCTGGTATTTCACTGAAACAACGTAAGGGGCTTAATCAAAGTGGTAATTTCACTGTTTCAAACAGTGAAATTACCAGTTTTAAATCACTGATATATTTCTATAAACCCCCGAAAAGCATGTAATAAAGTACACGAGCACACACAATTGATGTTTAGATAAATTCATGCCGCAAATGAAGCAATTTTAAAGCAATTTAACCTATATCTTGATATTAGTCATTCAAAATTTTAGAAAAATGAAGATCAACAAGCGTGCACATGCACCCACGCACTCAGACACAGATAAAACTGCGCAAAATGGCAAAATTGAAAATGTTGCAGATATGGTATTTTGAAAATTAACAATCAAACCACGAACGATTGTGGCGCCGTTATATGTCGCAACGCCGTTAAATGTCGCACTTGCCGCTAAATGTCGCATCATTGACGCTAAATGTCGCAACCGCCGCTAAATGTCGCAAAATCATTTGCCGTTAAATGTCGCAATGTTAACGTTAAATGTCGCACGAATTTCCCTTACCGTTAAATGTCGCAACACTACCGTTAAATGTCGCAAGATGTAAATTCATGTTAAAATCATGTTTAAAGTAGAATATTATTACTTTTTAACATTCTCATAGTTATTTTAATTGTAATTGCCATTATACGTTATCAAGGAAGACTGGGATTGCTGGTTTTGTGAAAGATTTTGTCAGTTTAAACCAGTTTTTCGTTGAAGTATTTGATGAGTTTATTTGATCAATTAATTTATTTTTATATTCATTTTTACTTTTTCTTATTTGTTTGGTAACCGCATTTCTGATTGTTCTAAATTGTTGCCAAGATAACTCTGTATTCATATGTTTTGCTTTTTTGTGGGCCTTTTTGCGTTTTCTTATTAGTTTACGTATTTTGTTGGTCATCCATGGAATATCGTGTGGTCTTATTGTTAATATTTTGTTAGGAATATTGTTGTCTGCAGCATTAAATATGGTACTACTACGGTTGACTGTTTCATCTATATCATTGTCAGTGTTTATTATGGATTGCCAGTCTGCTGAGTTAATTTCATTTCTGTAGCCAGAGTAATCACCCCTGTCATTAAGCCATATTTTGCGTTTATATGTGGTACTCTTTGGTTTCGAAAATTTCATTACTGATACGATTGGACAATGAAAACGAATAACATCTGGAATAAATGGGTCTGCAACAAAACTTGTTAAGATATGATTTGTGTTCTTTACGAACATTACATCGAGTAATGAGCAAGAGCTTTCTGTAAAGTGGGTTGGTGTAGTAATAAGTTGTTCTGCATTGTTAGAGGCTATAAGATTAAACAATTTGTTTGAATTAGAATTAAGAAGATTTATGTTAAAATCGCCAGAAATCAGGATATTGTCAGATCTCTCGGAAAATGCTTGATCTATACACTGTTCAAGAAGAAGCCAATGCTAATTGTTAGAGTCTCGGGGTCTATAAATACCACCTAGAAGAAGTTTACGACTGTTTATATCAAGTTCCACCCATACACATTCGATACCACGTACAGATAAATCGGATCTTGTATGAAATCTTAAGCCCTCTCTGACATAGATTCGCCACTCCACCACCGACTCTGTCTGTTTCTGTCGCAACGAACCGGGCATTGGAAGTTTGGTATTTCAATGTCATCTTGTTATGCACTTCGGACGCAGCCCAGGTTTCAGTAAAAATAAGAATATCATATGGCTGTGATTCGAGTTCAAGTATATCTAGCTTAGGTCTAAGACTCTGAATATTTAAACACATAATAGTTAACCCACTATTTATAAGCTGAGAAGTAGAAGATGCAAAAGATGAGTCGGTGCTAGAGTTGCTTTCAACAGATGGACCAGGATTAGAATGAATATCTCCAGCACAAAGTAATATTATTGATAGCCATTGAGGAAGTATAAATACAGAGTACAAAAGGGTGATGATATCCAGTGTGTATTTGTCATTGCTTCCAGGTTCTGTCTGTGACACTGTCGTATTTGCATGCATAAACGATATCATGGGGATGGTATCTAACAACATTTAATAAGTAAGGTATGAGAGACAGAACTGAGAATATATATGTTTTATGTGTCACATCCTCCACGAAAATACCGTGTGCAGGTACATTAAAAATGAAACTTATAAAACAAGAGCACCGCTAGGCGGAGCATTATATGCCCGAAAGTGTTTTTTTTTTAGTAAGGATGAAGCATTTGTAAGACATGGGAATTCGCTGTTCATCCTATAAAATTTTACAGCTGTAGGTTGATTAATACTTAAGTTATTTATAATGACCTTAACCTTTGACCTTGTGACCCCAAAATCATTAGGAGTCTTCTACCTTATATGGACAATAATCCTAAGAAGTTTGAATATTGTGTGCCAATTGGACCTTTGATTATGCTCTAGAAACTGTTTTCAGTATTAAGGTAAAAGTGACTTTGACCTTGTGACCCCAAAATCAATAGGGGTCTTCTACCCAATATGGCCAATCATCCTATGAAGTTTGAATATTGTGGGCCAAATGGAACTTACGTTATGCTCCGGAAATTGTTTTTGGTTTTAAGGTAATTGTGACCTTGACTTTGACCTTGTGACCCCAAAATCAATAGGGGTCTTTTGCCCAATATGGACAATCATCCTATGAAGTTTGAATATTGTGGGCCAAATGGAACTTAAGTTAAGCTCCGGAAACTGTGTTCAGTTTTAAGGATATAGTGGCCTTGACCCTTGACATTTTGACCCCAAAATCAATAGGGGTCATCTACCCAATATGGACAATCATCCTATGAAGTTTGAACACTGTGGGCCAAATGGAACTTAAGTTATGCTCCGGAAACTGTTTCCAGTATCAAGGTAATAGTGACCTTGACCTTTGACCTTGTGACCCAAAATCGATAAGGGTCTTCTACCCAATATGGCCAATTATCCTATGAAGTTTGAATATTGTGGGTCAATTGGAACTTAAGTTATGCTCCGGAAACTGTTTCCAGTATCAAGGTCATAGTGACCTTGACCTTTGACCTTTTGACCCCAAAATCAATAGGGGTCTTCTACCCACTATGGACACTCATCCTATCAAGTTTGAACATTGTGGGTCAATTGGAAACTTAAGTTATGCTCCGGAAACTGTTTTCAGTATCAAGGTAAATAATGACCTTGACCTTTGTCCTTTTGACCCCAAAATCAATATGGGGTCTTCAACCCAATAATGGACAATCATCCTATGAAGTTTGAACATTGTGGGTCGAATGGAACTTAAGTTATGCTCCGGAAACTGTTTCAGTTTTAAGGTCATAGTGACCTTGACCTTTGACCTTGTGACCCCAAAATCAATAGGGGTCTTCTACCCAATATGGACAATCATCCTATGAAGTTTGAACATTGTGGGCCAAATGGAACTTAAGTTATGCTCCGGAAACCAAATTGCTAACGGACGGACGGACGTACGTACGGACGGACGGACGGACGGACAGACAGACGGACGCCAGGGGGTATAA